TTTCATACTATGAACTTCCTTTCCCACACACACATAAGTTGAGTTACAAATATATATATATATATATATATATGTACACTCATGTAACAAAATACCAAAGAATATTAAAGTTTGATATATATACATATATATATATATATATAATCACAATATATTCACGATACACACCAACAGTAAAATAAAAAATAAAAAATAGTATTGTTCAAAAAATTCCTTAAAAATATTTTGTGCATTTAGTAAAAGTGTCATATCTCATGCTCAATTACTTTAAAAGGAAATAAGTTATATATATTAGTGTTAAACTAAATGCACAGAATATTTTTAAGTAAGTTTTTGAACTGCACAACAGGTTTTGCAAGTACATTTTCATCAGAACTTATTCTATTACAGTACGAAATTGACATTAACCATTTTACAAACTTTCCATAAATGTTCCATGTTTTTTCAAAACTAATCAAAAGATGTCAAATCACAATGCACTTGAAACACATTCTATTGACCTTTTTGTCTTTTTGTTGAAATTGATTCACACTATCCTTCCTGGTCATTTCATTTTCCAAGTTTTTTTTAATAAATTCCCTTGAATTTCCCCACTTGATGTATTGGCACTGTCAGTGGGTTACTTCATGGCAAGAGTCAAAGCTCCTTTCAAAGCAGTAAAGTCCAAAATTGACCTCCTCCACAGGAAAAAGTTACTCTCCAAACTGTAGATAAAAAACACATAAAAACATACTTAAACAATTACTGTTATACTTGCTTTGATACACTATTTTTATGGTTCTTTTATGGGTTTTATGGTTTGGGTTTGGGTTTTTTTTTTTTTTTTTTTTTTTTCATGTGTCAAAGACCGTGTCAAGTGCCACGGCCCCTAGGGTTTGAGAAAAAGGATGGCATTGATTGGAAAGTTGTATGCCAAGTGTCAATGTTGAGGCCATCCATATGGGTTTTCTCAAAGTACACTTTTTCTTTTTCTTTTTCTCTCTTCTCTCTTTTCTCTCTCTCTTTTTTTATACTTTTTTTTTTCTTTTTTTTTCCCTGACAACCCAAAGACATGTGGTTGATTGGTTGGTTGATCAATCTTGACTCCTCTTTTTTTTTTTGTAGTATGCTTTAGACAACAACATCAACAACCAATTCAGCCACTTTTTCTTCTTTTATGTTAAAAATGCCAAAGGTTTCAAATACATTTAGTTTTACAAATGTGTGTACATGTCTATCTTTTTATCAACAAAGGCACCATAATAACACCAAATTCAATAGAATACAATACAATACATGTACATGTATATACATATATACACACACACACACACATATATATATATATATATATATATATATGTGTGTGTGTGTGTGTGTATGAAAATGAGTTATTGCTTGTTACAATGCAACCATTCATGTCCAGCTTCTCTAAATTTATTCATCTTTGGCAAGGTTTGTGACCTTGTTTGTGGGTTGTGAATTCTGTAGAAATCAAAGTTAATGATAGAAAGTAAATCCCAAACATTGAAAATGTCTTTTAAGAAAATGTCATTCTCATCACAAAAATAGCTTTAAATTCACATATTTTTTTATTACTAAACTTTAATTTGAATTGCAGTTGTCACATTGAATTTGAAAGAAGAAGAAGAAAAACTCAGAACCAAACGGATTATATCATGTGAAAGAATCCCTTCAATTAATGTTTGGGTTGATTTAGCAATCATTATTTGAAAATCACAACACAACACACTATTTAAAGAGTAAATTTATTCATACTAGACTTCAAAAAAAAAAAAAAAAAAAAAATGCAGCCATAGATGTTGACCATTTAATTCCTCAAGGCATTTTTGAGTTTCCATGTATTGATTAATGAAATCATAATGAACCAAAATTGTCCAAATACAATTGTGGTTTTGTTTTCATCATATCCAACAAATCAATATCTGGGTTCATAAAATCACTAAGGGTAGCTTGGTTTTCCATGTAACCAATGTTTCAACAATTGTATATTATAATACCTTATACCAAGAATGAACACAACATTCTTTACTTTTTGGAGTCAAAAATATAATGAAGTGCATCAAATAAACCAACTTCATTCTATCTATCACTAGTAGTATTAATACATGGTCAAATTACCAAAATAAAACATTCCTCATAAAACAGATGCACACGTCCATTAGTTGCTAAACAAAACATATACATCAAACATTTTTCCATGACAGAGAAAAGAAAGAAAGAAATTTTTTTAAAAAGTAAAAATAAAAATACATCAATGAAACAAAAGTTAGAATAAAAATAACAGTACAAGCGTGTTAACAAAGATAGTAGTGACGAAGCAAAGGCAAAATTGGGTAGAGGCAGGCCGCAGGGATGGATGGATGGATAGATGGGAATGCACGTGGGAAAAGGAAGACCAACCGTGTGTTATTTCACCCAATGGGACACACAAAATAAAGTGAAATAAAATAAAAATAAAACAATGCTTGAAGGGGGGCAAGGCTGGCGAAGTAGGAATGTGGGAGCAGGAGGAGGAGGAGGAGTAGGAGGGAGGAGCAAGACCTCGCAACAACAATCTAAACAGCGGTGGCGAATTGAACGAACGCTTACAAAACCCAAAGAGAGGCACCCATCCGGATCGCTCGCTCGCTCACTCAGTTAGTCTGTCAGTAAGTTCAAAAAAAACGGGGCACCAGCACCAGCACCCGCACCTGCGACGATGGCGACGAGTAAACGAAGAAGACAAAGACGAGAGCCCTGCCTTGGTCTTCAAAGGAACAAAAACTCATTCACACAGGTGAATGAGCCCGGGCTAAAAGGAGCTAAAAGGGCAAAGCCAAAAGTAAAATGTTGCGGACACAGCAGCAATGGGAGTTCTCGAGGGGGGGAGTCAGCAGCGGAAGAAGACGGGATTTGAAAGCTACTGTGTGTGAGCCAATTTTTTGACTCACAATGTAGTCAGAAAAAATATTAGAATAAATCAATGGAGTTAGGAAGAGAAAAGCTTGGGTGTAGTTAAGTAGGATAAATTGTCAATGAAAAGGCTCATTTAGGTGTTAAGAGTCGAGTACAATTATAATGGTGGGTGAAACGATCAAGGTTTAAAATTAGATTAAGTAGGAATAGTGAAGTCATGTTGATAAGCAGTGAAGAAAGGAGTAAATGGGAGAAAATATGTTATCTGGACCTTTAGGACAAGAACAATATACTAAAAATAGTGAAAACTAGACATACTATTTCTAAGCGAGAATAGAATAGGGGAGACTTCTAAAAGGGCCCCTAACAATCTCTCACAAGTGTCAAGGACTTAAAAAAAGAAAAAGAAAAAACATACACATACATAGACCAATGACCTACTCTAGCATACTAATCTAGGGTACATAGATTTTGGACTTAGCGAGTTATATCAATAATGTTGGAAAGACAAGGTTTGGAGTGCCAAAATTAATGAGGGTAGTGAGGTGAGGCGAGGCAAGGCAGTGCATGGGGTGGTACGTAGTAGACGAGGAAGTTGAATGCAGATTTGAGTAAATTGGGGTGATCTTATTTGAGACATGTGTGTTGCTTAGAGTGGAGTTTGCACTCACTAGGAAGTTGGAATTACTAGATTGGATAGCAATTTGGGCTAGAGTTGCGTGGAAGATCAAATTGTGATCTAGTTTTATAGGGTGAGTGAGAAATTCCAAGCAAAAAACAGACAAGGGTTGTGGCATGGAGTAGATCCAAATGAATAGAGAAGATTATCGAAAGAAGAAGGAGGGGGTGCAAATTCTAGAGGAGCTCGAGCTAACTGAAAGAGAGGTGACGACAATGTTGCGCTGTGTGGTGTTGACAGATCTAAGTTGCATAGCCATTTTAGAGGAAGTGGCAAAGTGAAGGCATTCTTAGTAGAAGAGATCAAAGCGATAGTATTCCAAGAACGTGGAGACGGTTTGGTAGGGACGATGACAAGACTTGGCTTGGGAATTGATAACTATTATAAATCAGTTGTCATTTGCCATGTTGTTTGTGAGGTGGTAGTTGATTTCTAATGGTTGTTAGACAACAAGTTTAGAAGAATTTTTGTGCATATTTTTTAGTGTGATTGTGGTGTTGTGAACATTGTTTTAGTATAGTTGTTTCTTTGTTGTAGAATGAGATGCATATGAAAACTTTCACAAGTTGATTGCTAGACAATTTAAATAATTAAATAAATAATTAAAATAATAAATATAAAATAAGGAAAGAAAGAAAGAAATAAAAAATCAAATTTAATTAAAATTCAAATAAATAATTTAAAAATTAAAAATCATATTAAATAAATAAAATAACTCATATAAAATAAATAAATAAAATTTTGATAAAACAATATCATAGGTAAACAATGGTTAAGAAAGAGAATACATCTAATCTAATCTCATGTGAGTGAAGTTACTCCACCGGACTGCCAAACGCAATTAACGTTTGTTCGAAGGAAAGGGGGAGGGGTTGAGCACATGTCCGGAGCGTCTTTAACCGCACCACCACCAGATAGGTTCAATTGCAGCAGTGCTAGGTGCTGCCATCCTGCGATTTTGAAATTTCGTATCCTCCTCCTCCTCCCCCCCCCCCACCCCCCCAAAAAAAAAAAAGTCCGTTACAGCAGCACTCAACGTCGCGGCACGACGCGGCGCGACTAAGCGAAGCGAAGCCCACGACAATGCTGAGCCACGCAATCGGGGACCCCCCCATGCATAAGGGGGAGGGGGGCGGGGAGGAAACAAGGCGACCCGCGTTGGCAGGAAAGGAAGCCTGCACGAAAGCAGTGTGGCTGGGCTGGGGGGCTCTGCTCATCGCACGGTCGCGCGGCGGCGTTGCGGCCCAGGCAGGCAGCGCCATGAAGGGGAGGAGAGGAGAGGAGAGGAGAGGGAGGGTATATAGGATGGATGCATTCCTCCCTTTATTTCATCCATCCATTATCCATCCACCATCCATCCATCCTAAGCGGGGAGAGGAGGGGGCTCAAGGGAGGGATGGATGCCTAGAGTGAGTGCCAGGCATTAGGGGCAGCCTAGTCTCTGTGTGTGTGTGTCTCTCACTCTCTGTCTGTCTCTCTGCCTCTCCTCTCCCTGTCCTGCTGCGTTCTGTGTCTGCGCCATTGCATCCCTGCCTGTCTTTCGAGATCCGTCTGCTCCCTTTGCTCTCTCTTGCACATGCTCTCTCTGTCTCTCTCTCTCTCTCTCTCTCTCTCCACCCTTGCTCTCTCCCCTGCCATGTGAGGCGCATCTCGCGGAGGGTTAGTTCCATACCGTTTCTCGATGCCTGTGTGAGAGTAGTTGGGTGGTTAAGTGCACACTTCTGCCACTGTGGGCACATTGAGTTCTCGTTTCTGCGTAGCTTTTCATTTTATTCATTTTTTATATTTTTTAGTGGGTAGTTGTCTCTCAGGAACGTAGCGTTATTTTGTAGTGGTGCACTTACAGGCTCTCTCCGCTACATACCGGACGACTAGCAGACCCCACGACTCTTAGCGCGTAAGGTTCTTTCTCAGAGGCGTTAAGATATAAGTGCTTTTGCGCTGGCACGGTTGTGCGGTGCATGGTGGTAGAGACGGGGTAGACGTATCTGCTTATGTGGTGAAGGCCGCACCGCACTCAGGTGCCGTCTCTTTCCCTCAGAGGTAAGTTTAAGATACCCGAGATGTTGGGCTTTGATTTGCTTGGGTGAACCCCTCCGGAGGGGTTCCGAATGGTATCAGCGCATTTCAGTGCTGTGGTTGCCGGTTTAAGCTATGAAGCGCCTTGTCGGCGGAGCCTGCGCGTTTTGGGTTGTTGGTAATTTGTGAAAGAGTTTTAGAGTGGCAACTCCTTGAGCGCATCCAGCTTGGGGCCTCTTAAGAGATGGACAGTGGGAGTTGTTCGCGAGTGGGCTTTCGATTGTAAGGTGGCATGGGGCGAGTATTTGTTTTTGAAGGATATGGAGCTCGTGTTCTCTGAGCCCTCCTGTGATGCCCACTTGTATGCCCGGAAATGCAATACTCTATGGATGCCGAGTTGATTGAGGGCTCGAGCGACTTAACGATGATTAAATTTGAGAACAGATTAGGAGGTAGCCGCAGCAGGCAGCAGGAGATAGGTTTTGAAGACTACAAGTTTGCGTCCTAGTGTTTTGATTTAGTATGAACCTCTTGCATGTGATGGTGGCAGGTATGTACAAGAATCAGCTTCAAGAGCTTGCTCAGAGGAGCTGCTTCAATCTGCCTGCGTATGCATGCATCAGAGAGGGTCCCGACCATGCACCGCGGTTCAAGGCGACGGTGAACTTCAATGGGGAGGTTTTCGAGAGCCCTAATTATTGCAATACGTTACGCCAGGCAGAGCATGCCGCGGCCGAAGTGGCTCTTAACACGCTGTCACGGCGAGGCCCATCTCAGTCTCTAGCAGCACGCATCCTTGTGAGTTGGTCAGTTATCCGAGTCGGTCTGCTGTGATGTCATTGCCGTGCTACTACAATGGTGGGTCTTCGAGTAGCTGGATCCTGATTGATTGCATAGCTGATGTGTGCTCTGGTTTGTACTCAGGATGAGACGGGCGTGTGCAAAAACTTGCTACAGGAAACTGCCCAAAGAGCTGGCGTCTCCCTTCCCGTGTACGCCACTACTCGATCCGGTCCAGGACACCTACCTGTGTTCACTTGTACGGTGGAGGTGGCGAATATGTCCTTCAGCGGGGAAGCTGCGAAGACAAAGAAGCAAGCGGAGAAGAATGCAGCTATGGCTGCTTGGTCTGCCATCCAGCAACGTAAGTTGCCTTCCAGTGCTCACTTAGCTTTAGCTTCTTCAGTAAGGAAGAATAGGTCGAGAACCATGCAGCTTCGGGATGTAGACAGTTTCATGGACCATGTATCCCGAATATGTCACGCTGTTGCGTTAGGTGTTGACGCTTTGACTTTATCCAAGTCACAAGATGCTTTTTCCTCTGTGTGAGTAGCTTACGCTATGTCGGTATCGGCCCGGGGAGCAATTGATTGAATTTGAAGCATCGCCTCCGTAGACTGTATGTAGGATGTGCGCACCGTTTGGAGGCTGAAATTGCGTTTGTGCATGTGTGTGATCTCAGTTGCGAACCAAGGCAGAGGTGTACCACTGGCAACAGAAGGGGAGGTCAGTGAGGAGCAAGAACAGAATACGATCGCTAGAGCTTTAGCTCAGCATTACGGCAAAGAGTCGCAGCAGTTGCCTCACAGTACTCAGAATCCGTCTAGCAGCGTGATGCCCATCAGGTTGAGAACTTTGACTTCGAGGGACGGATTGCAGCCTGGTTCACCTCGCTTGAACCAGAGTCATTCGGGACCTTGGGCTACCGATTTGTCAATGGAGCAACAGCGGCATACGCGCAATCAGGGACATTCTAGTGTAGGTCCTGTAGCGTCTCCTGCGTACCGTCCCGTAGGAACTTCACGGATAGGTTCGTCGGTTACGATTCGGGACGTCACAGGGCACCGGGATTCTGCAGCTCTCCGGGACGCATCTGCGATGCGAGATGCTGCGTTGGCGAAGAGAGCGGTGGAGAGAGCAATGTGTGGCAATTTTGTGGGTCGACACAGTCCTGTGAACCTCCGACCGGTGCCACAGATGCGCAGGGACAGGCATGAGGTGGCAGTACATTACGACAATCATCAACGGGACGAGGATGAATGGCTGCGAGGGGAAAGCACGAAAGCTAGTCGGGATGTCGATTGCCTGAACGATTCCCTGGAGGAGCTTGGAGCCTCCGCGGTGCATGGGTCGTACAATCCTATGTCTTGGTCAGGGGCTGGTGTAAGCAACTGGTGGAACATGCATCCAGCCGCGATGCCAAGGGCGTCTAGTAGGGCAGCTATGCCAGTAGTGTTGCGCCCAGCAGTGATGGTATGTGCGGCACCGCCGCTTCGTCCGGAACCAGATGATGCGGAGAATGAGGGTGAAGCGGCCACACACCAAGTGCTAAGTCAGCTGAGTCTGTGAAGGAACCTGTTTGGTTGCTGGATCATGGTTGTGAAGTAGATGCGAGGGTCTAGTCCACGTGACGTGCCATCTCCCTGGATGGATGGTCCAACTGCTTCCGGATTGCAGTGGATATTGCATCCTTTGAGATGGATCGCCTGTAGGCATACATATTTTTATATAGCTAAATATTACATACGAACTCATGAGATGTATGATGTCTTTGTCTAGGGTATGTTAACGCGTAGCAGCGGAGATGTGTCGGTCAGGGTCCATCGGATGGATTCCTGTCTTCAGGTTTCTCTGTCTGTGATTCTCACTGTTTACGGCTCTTGTAAACGGGATGGAGAGTGTGGAGGCATCTTTGTTAGTGGAGCAAGGTTCTGCAGTTATTTGGTTCAGCGTCTTGGAATGATGAACTGACCCAATTTTGATGGGATGGAAGTTGTGGGGCGATTTCACACGTTTATTCCAATGGAATAGTATTGATTGGCGATTTTGTATTGACGGAGGGGAGACAACCACGGAAAGGCAATTCAAACATCCAGCTCCTTCAGGCCCTCGCCGGTAGAATAGGCAATGCTAGTCAAGTGCAGTTAGGCTGCGATGATGATGATTGTGTTCGAGTTAAACGAGAACTGTACTTTCGGACCAAACTTTGGCACACTATTGTTGATCAGCTTGTCACTGCAGGCATAGGCATTTCCTCTCGAGTAGGCGTGGCGGGTCACAGAGACGTTAGAGCAATTTTCATCTACTTTAGTAGTGACATTTTCCATTCTTTAGTTTCCTATTGATGATATGGAATTTCACGGAATGTGTAAAAATGTGCATGAATGTGTCCACAGCATGGATTTGGAAGTTTAAGAATGTTTGAGTTGACATTTCAGTGAAGCTGATGGAGTGGAGTATTCGTAAGATAGTGGAGCCTAAAAGGATGTGTACCCAAATGGTGACCGAGTAGTGGAGCCCAGAAGGATAGTCTTTTGGGGAGGAGTGCCGGTAGGCGTGATCTGGAAAGAGATGGAGGTCGTCTGACCGCCATCCAGTTACCCAATTCTGTGATTATACCATCCTCTGTTCCCGTCTCACAGTTTTCACGTTCAAGTGTCGGATGCTTTGTGTTGCGTATGAGGGATTAATGTTACTCGTACGAGAACGTTACTGAGGATAATTGTTCGCTCGCTTCACTGGTCCATGACTCTGCTGTTCAAATTTATTATTGCAAGTTTGTTTATGACAGGCTGAGCTGTGTGCAGCATGGCAGAACCCACGTGAGGTCCACATTTGCGTCATTGCGTGGAAACAATTAAGTTTTGTTTTCGCTGTTTAGGTACGTAATTGAAAATTCGCTAACATCTCTCCTTTCAATAAGTGCGACTCAGGTAGGCTTTAATGCTTACATGAGTTTGCATCTGAAGATGTATGTGTCTATTCAAAGCACATTTAAAAAATAATGAAAATGTGCTGCTATTCTAGTGCAAGGCTAATAAGTCACGGTATAGGAAGACCTACATGTGTGTCCTTACAACATGGATCGTAAATGTTATATTTTTGTGATGTTACTGAAGGTTGAAACAGTAAATGATTCTCAAGGAGAAGTGTATTAAATTTTTTTAAGCTGTAATTTATTCTGATTAATAGTTCTATGACGTGAACCTTCTGAATTTCAAAGAAAGTTAGAATCTTTGATGGTGCATATATAAATATCATTTTCATTTCCTTTCAATCACTATTAGTTGTAATTTACACATTTCATGATGATTTTTCTATACATCTTATTGAGTGTATGTGTTATTTAAATTTTATTTTAAAAAAATAATCGCAGTTGTACTTAATAAAAGTCATGGTTTCAAGTGATGATATTGCTTGAAATTGCAATTTTCATAAAATTGAGAATTTATCCCTTTTAAAATACATCTTAATATTTTAGAACCTTTTCTTTTGAAAAGAAATAATATGAAAATATTTTCTCATGTTTTTGAAATTGCAAAATTAATTTAAAGAACAACATGAATAACATTCCCAAGAACTAAATGTTTTGATGAATTACAAAATTATTTAGAAGTTTTTGAATTTTTGAACTTTACAATGTCCATTCTTATTTTCATGTTTGGCTACAGTTAGTAGTTATAGCAATTTTACTTTAAAACTTCAAAACTCAATGTTATCACTGACATTTTGTCAATAGTAAGATTCTCATTTTACTGTAATTATTATTATTCTCTTTTACTATGCTTCCAATATATATGATAATCCAGGTCTGTTTTTCTTTTGGTATGCAAAATCAGTAAAGTTCTGATTGCATGATTGTTTTCAATTGATTATAAAACATAAATATAGTTTAATATATTAATGAAACATAAATTCATAATTTTTTGTTCATAATATAATCATATTAGGTAGTGATGCAGATAATTTTATTTTGTTGTGAAACCATTGTCATATTTGATCATTATTAAATTTAAACTCTATATAAAATAAAACCATTATGAATATTGTGTAGTGCTTATTTTATTTTCATGGAGGTAAGTTGTAAGTTCATGTTGAATATCAAGTAGCTTTTTGCAAAATAGTTTTCAAATCTTCATTGAAATGGACGAAAGTAAGAAATATAGTCATGTATTTCATAGATTAGATATTTTATTACACAGTTTTATTATCATGGACAGATTTTTAAGAATTTGTGAAAAGGATATCTGTCTGTACTGTGGTTAATGCAATTTACTAAAAACGAATATCACTTTCATAGTTTATTGATTTATCACACATATGTTTGATTGTAGGATCATGCACGGTAAGTTGCAAAAATATTCATCATAACTATTGTATTTCATATTCACAGACATTGTGATCAATTCATTATATTTTATATGAATTACAAGAGTGATGTGTTTCATTAATCTTGAAATTAATTCTTAGTAAAGCTACAAATAAATGATCGGTTACAGATATTTAACTTATAAAAAAATTATAAAAGAATATATCACACGTTTTTTTAAATTATTCTTTTGTTTTGTTTCCTAACCATTTAGTTAATAGATGTTAAAGTAGGTTACTTCTGATTTTATTTATTTTTATATTAGTCAAAATATTGTACCAATCATAATAATACGTATTTATGTTTTTATATATATATATATATATATATATATACATTATTTTTACTAAAGAAATATACAAATATAAATAATTGGATGTACTTTTTTCTTTTCTTTTCATTTATAATTTTTAGTATGTATATCATGTTGTAGTAAAATAGTATTATTTGTTTTGGATATGTTACAGTTTCAAGTTGCATTTTCAACTAAAAAATATAAGCACTCTATTCTTCTATAGGATGGTGAATATATTAAGAATTTTTCAATGACTTAATTATAATTTTAAATTAAAAATTAATGAATAATTAGTTTTATGATTTTAGAAATACTATATGAATAGAAATTCTAATAGGTATATTCTTCTTTCTAGTTGTCTTTTTAAATAATATGATCATCTATTTTTATTTCAATTAGAATAAAAATAGAATTGGAATTGGAATTTTTTAGCATTTCTGAAATCCGTAGAAAATCTTTTATAACACACTACCTCAAAAGATGTATTTATTATCAAAAAATAAAATAAAATAAAATCCATTTACTTGGTAACTAAAGAGCACTTTATACCTAGAAGCCTGCTTTAAGAGGTTATGGTCCAAAGTCTTTACTAAAATTGTCTACCTGTTGAGAATACCCCCCTTTAGAAGTCTTGGAATTTAAATATGATACAAAGTGAGAAGAGGCTATGGAATAAATCAAATCATTCTTTTATTACAAGTCTAATTATGTTAGCTCATATTTTTATTTAAATAATTACAATAAAAATTTTAAAACTTGATTTTTTTAATGATTATTCTAAGAATTGCTTGATATGGCTTCTTAAATGTTCTCTAATAACCACCTTGAGATAGCATCTAACAAATTCTAAAAGACAACACTATTTATGCCATGTAGGAAAAAAAAGTACATTCCACTTTGACTTCTTCTTGTAAGGCATTTGGACTTATTTTTCTAAGTATAAAGCCAACTTTAGGATGCTTCTAAATTTCAACCACTCAAAAACATTTAGAATTGCAACCTCCTATTGTGTCTCCTAAATATAATGTGCTCCTAAATATAATGTGCTCCTAAATAAAATTTGGGATTATTTAGTAGCCCTTTAAATCATAAATTATAGTAAATTTATTATTATTATTTCATATACAACTTTTTGATCCTTTATACCTTCTTCTTACTATGTGATTTATATATTCTTATATTAATCTTTATACTAGCATTATTTTGTCTTTTATATCTTTATTTAAGTATTTACTTTTTATTTCTTTTTATTGATATTTAATTATTTGAATCATGTTTATTAATTTACAATACATCAATAAATATTTTTTTAAATCTATCTTTATCTATTTTTTCTTTCTTGATAATAATACTCCTTATTATGGCAATATAATAAGGAGTATTAATAATAATAATCCTTATTAATATTTCTTAATAATAATACTCCTTATTATAGTGCCATACTTCAGTACTTTAATATCCAACAATTGTATTGTAACATGAATTTAGAATCTAATGCTAAAGAACATAAAGTTCAACTCCTAATTGCTTTAGTAGCCACATTTTTAAAGGAAAAAACAATTCTATTCCCTAATACACCCTTTCGTGAAATCTATATTTTTCTTCTACTTTAGCTTCTTAGTAATCCTATTTGTTAGCTTACAATTCTACTGATAGGGATATTTCTTTTTTTCCCCCTTTACTTCTTAATTAATCTAAGAATGTTTGTCCTCAAACACCACCTTAAATTTATATCTTTATGCACCAAAAAATGAATAAATACTCTTCTTCATCTTCAAAATTTGTTCAAAGAAAACAACAAATTATTAATAAAAATAATTGAGATTAACATTTGGAAACAAATGTATGTATGTATGTACACATAATCTTCATCATTTAGATTTCTTACTTTTATGTTTACAGAAAATAGAATCAATCTTCTAGTGTTTTGGCTTTGTCTACTTCTATAAATAGCATAAAATTGTTGTACTTTTCTTCTCTACCAACAGTATACAAAATGTTGCATACGAACAAACAAACAATATTTTACTAAACTCATCTCTAACTTGTGCATATGCTTTCTGGATTCAATGCAACAAGGTGTTCAATAATAGCACCTAGTCCACACTTCTCTTTGGGCATCCCTCATGATTTAGTTCATTACTAAGAGTAATTAAGAATATGATTTAGAACCCAAAACCAAAAATATATATTTAACTTATAAGTGTGACTCTATTTTGACCAAGAAACACACAATTTGTGACAGACTAGGTGGTATTATTAAGTGGCAAACAAAGCCCCATGCTTCCTAAAAGAAGATCATCTACTCAATTCCAAATTATACGTGTATCCAAGGCTGTAAAAGAGACTTTCCCTTCTTACCTAAGTGGAATTTACATTTCTAGTGGGGTATTCATCTTGATTTGCCCATTTTTTTTCTTTCTCTCAAAGAAAGTGTTTGACTGGAACCACATTGACTTCTTCTAGGAAGTTTTTTCTGAGATAATAATAATTGAAGTATTAAAAAAAATATATATCCACTACCCAATTTGTAATTCATCACTCAGTTATGTTTGATTGCACATGTATGGCACTGTGAATCACAAGATTATAAGATGAAAACGCAACGCGTACGATTTTTTGTATTTGTGCTTTCGAAAGGAAAAAGAAAAAAACACAGTGTCAATAAATGATGGGTGCAAAGCGGATACAAATTTATCGTTGTTGAAAAGCAGCCACAAACATCGACATCCGATAACACATGGATAAATTATGAGCGACAGATTCACAAATCCATACACAGTTTTACACTAGGACCCTGAATGAAGCAAGCCATAGCTGCAAAATACACCTAATGAACTATATATATAGATATATATGTATATATGTAGAATATTGTTATTAAAAAATGAAGATAAAATAAACAGTGTAAGAAGTGGGTATAGCATAGCACAGAACAGTCACCACTCCAGCTAAATTGACACATCCAGATGACCCAATCCCGCAGATTCTGCTCTGCAATAGCAGAGTAGGCGAAGGCCTTCGTGGATGCAGACTTTCACTCTACCATCAACTGGTGACTCTCATCTGAGAAAGAAGAATCATAAAATATGAGCCGCACCTGCTGCAAAGTGCGTCAGACATCGGATACCACCCATCGAGTACAGCATTGCCCTAAAACATCATCCATCGAATACCACTGTTTTTGTGGCAGGATGATGAGGATGTCGCCACTGCAGGCACACCAGACAGCACTTGTATGGGCCCTTGTGAAAGAAACAGATGCCACCCACTACTCACCGAGAGGGAACCTTTTCCACAAACAAATTGCAGGAATCAGCTCATAAACCTTCTGCATGCTAAGGTGCGCCAGTTCCAGCTACAGCCGTTGCATACTAAGGTGACAGAGGTATGCGACGTGAGGAAAAAATTATAATGCCCACATCGCATATGACACAGATTGGAAAGGATACATACACACCCAGCGTACGAGAGCATGGGGAGTTAAATGCATAGCATTGACAAGCTGATTGCAAGGGTCCAAAATCCACAGAGCTGTCAAAGACAGGATCGGATGAGCAATGTTGAATGCTGTAAGAAATGAAAGAGGAGAAGGGAGGGAGGGGAGGTCGAAGGTAAGTCAACACCCGAACCACTACCCTTGGCTATACGTGGTGCACCACATGTACTGAGGCTAGTGTGCAGGTTCATGAAAGGTCTGACCACGACCGCGCATTCAAGCTCTTAATCCTGAACAACTTTAAAAGAATCATGGCTTCAAAGAAAAGATCGCCAGTTCAGGCTTTCTTTATAGCTACAAAGTTCAAGGACTACACCATGAACCACGCAGAGAGGGCCATCGGTGGTGGTTCGCTCTTGACTCATTTCCTACCTCTAATCCGTGTCTGTATATCCGTATGTGCCAATGAATCGCTAAAATGGCGTCCGGTCTTTCTTCGATTCGCCCATTTCGGTGTTGTTGTAGTTGTTGTTGACCTGCTCCTCACCTCCTTCTCCCTCCTGAGGAGCGCTCAAGACCACGCTCAATGTGAGTGTACACACAATCTTGAAGGCTCCTCAATCAACCCATTCCACCTGCCGTTTGTACTCAGATCTACCTCGCCCATAGCAACAAGTGAAAGACCGCTCTGATTTACCATAATTCTCTCATTCTAGCGGGACTCGCTGCAATTCGTATCTCACTGCGCGTGGCGGACGAGCAGAACCTCCACCCCTCCATGACCTCCAAAAGGGAAAAGACCGCGCTGCTGCTGACCATGCATAACCCTCCCTATGCATCCTCCACCAACAATGCCGACCTGATCCGCTGCACCGTGCATGATATCAAATTATTCACCGTAGCCACCGACTCCAGAGACAGCCGCGCCGATGGAATGCTGCTCACGAGAATCTGGAATGCCACTGTCAACAACGACCCAGTTCCACGACCGATCTCGGTCAGTTGCCCGCCTTGCTCATTTCCCAGGGCCCCTCTGTCGCCTCCTGGACCGTCGGGAAGAATAGCGAACCCGGATGGCAGCAGCGCTACGTACGCCGGATCGCCCCCTTGCAACACCAAATTCATCGCCGGAATGTCTACCGGCGCGTATATCACCAGTGAACCTGACACATCCGTGCAGCTCTCTTGCAGTATCAACATATTGCTCTGGCTTGAATTCATCGCATTCACCCGAAGCAACGACACGCTGTTTCCAGGGTCCTGACCCTTGGCAATGTGCGCCATCTCCGTCACCATTCCACCGTTCGACAAGATGTCCCACTCACTCCTCAGCCGCTCGTCTCGCAGAAATTGGAACACTCGCGCCGGCGAAACCGGCAGCCACATCGATGTGGCCGCGCTCAGCACAATGCCGTGAGGCTCTCCCGGATTGTCCACGCTCTTCCGGGTCATTACCCGCACATCGTCATCCCCGCTCCCAGACAATGTCGTCCATGTGTGCACCGTCGATGCACTCACTCCCGCACAGAAATTGTTCGTCATCCTCTGCGCCAGCTTCAACATGCTCCGTCGCCCACTCGCACTTGGCACCCCGCCCAAATCTCGGGATGCAATGTTGCTAGCCAGCAGGCTGGCCAACCTCTCACATTGCCGCTGCAGTGTGGCCAACCATCTTTGAGCACCGAATGCCATACCGGTGTTCACTAGATCCCGGTACATGCGATGCACGGCACGGTCGTCGTACTCCATGTGTTCCACGCACGTCACCTTCGCATAACCGTTCGGAGTGTCCTGGATTAGTACCCCCGATGGCCTCCGCCGACACCTCATCAGCGACGGGGGTGGATTGTCTCGCAGAGAGTCCACCGAGACGTCCACCACTGCCCACACGCCTTCCGCGTGCTGCTTGCAGTACCGCAAGAAGTAAATCTCTCGAGTCGGCACCAGCGGCGACAGCACCTGCAGCTCCGCATACATCAGCTGCAATGCACCGTTGCGATTCCCCGTCACACCCGTCGCCAGCACATCGACAGTCAGCGCCCGCGACACTATACAGGGGAACATATCCATCCACTGCGTCGCGTCCATGAGCGTCTCTACCAAATTCACGCCGTTCATCATCACCAGTGCCGTCTCGCGAGTCGCTTCCGTTTTCAGACCCGGGGGACACATCCCGATACCCCGTGGGAACTGCCGCATGTACTCTTCGTAGTTCAGCTGCTCCTTCCCGACTTCACCCATATTTACCCACAGCGGCTCCTCCGTTTGTGCCATGCGCACTAGCTCTTCCATTGCCGTCACCGCCAGTTCCACCACCATCGGCTTCTCGGCCTCGGTCAATCCTCCGGGCCTCGTCGCCACATCCGCAACGCTTGGACCCGCCACAACGTCAAGGTTTCCAGGTGCCGGGTGCATACCGCCAAAGCTACTACCACCTCCTACCTGAAGATCCAGGGAGGAGCTCGGCAGTGCCAAAGGAGCCATGGGAGTGATTGGCCGGCCCAAGTACTTAGCGGCAAGAGCCGAAACCCGATCTAGTTCTTCCTTAAGCCTCACGTTCTCAATGCGAAGCTGCTGCTCGTCAAAAGTCATTTCGCCCACTGTGGCCGGGCCACCACAATGTGGGCACTGGGGATTCTTCAGCGCCTCCCGCATGATCAAGTTCTCGGACCGCAGCTTCTCATTCTCGGATCGCAGCATGGAATTCTCTGCGCGCTCAGTCTGCGCCTTCATCTGAGTGCGTCTGTTCTGGAACCAAAACTTGACCTGCCTGGGCTCCAGACCCAGGTCCCTGCTAAGCTGCTGGCGCTGCTTGTCGTCAGGATGCGGACACTCTTTAAAAAGCATCTCCATTTCCTGGATCTGTCGCGGGGTGTGTCGATGATACCTCTTCTTGCGAGGGTGATTATTGTCCGGGTCCTCGTCCCCTGAACCTCCCTCCATGTTGTCACTGCCCGAGCGTGACTCGTACTCCTCCTTATTCTTCTGCTGCTGCTCGTTATCTGCAGTCTGACTAACCTCTCTTTGCCCATCTAGACCCGTAGGGGGTCCTAATGACAAGGACGGGGACGAGTAGTGTTTCGGAGGTGGACGAGGCATGGCTAAAGGAGGTATCTGGCGAGGGGGGGCCATCGCTCCAGCGGGCATGCCACCCAGCTCCCCAAAACTCCTCCCCAGATTGCCCAGATTGCCGTTCGGAGGTACTTGCACGGTGACGCCTCCAAGCCTCATCCGGCTGCCACACCGTCTACGTCCTCAAGCTTTCCTACCCTACTATTAGCTGCTGCATTCCTCCATTACTCTCATCATAATCCTTTCCTACGTTATTTCTGAGGTGCAGGGGGGTTACCTCGACACCGACCTATTACGATAGTTACAGGAGCTGTGAGAGTGTTCGTCTAACTATGATAGGTCTTGTTTGGCAGATGATCTGAGGGAGCGTTGAATTTTACTCATGTACTTGCATGAACTTGTGCAGTGAAGGTTCTTCCTTTGGTTCCGTGTCACCTAGCAGCTGCCAAGGTAGAACCGTGCACTCCAGTCCCACAGATTCTGGGATTTGACTTCGGACGCTGTGCTTGACTTGGCGCACTGTGAGCACAGCACTTTCTCAGGAGTGGCGCAAGCTTCGATGTCGACCTCACAAGACCTACTTCGTGACAACGTGTGCTGTGTATGGACAGAAGTGTCCACTAGTGGCAGTACTGCTTAGCGGTGGCCGACAGACAGCGTACGACCTTACCAGATGCAACATATATAGCAACAACTCGTCTACGAGATGTAACTCCTGCAAAGCTTAGCTTCTTGAAACTCGTTTTCTGCTTCCACCTCAGAATGGCACGTGGGCATGCAGAAGACAGTTCAGGTGTTTCCGGATACGACCGAAACTAACCAGTCAAAGTGTAAGATGCTGGAGTTATTGTAAGCATGTTGAGGAGGTATAATAAGAAGGACTGCAAGTAGAGGTAGTAGACGAAGAAAGCAAAAACAAAGTGAAACCGAGAGCTAAGGGACTAGAGAGAAGAGGGAGGCAATGTCAAATGACGAAGTTGTCACTGTAGAGCGCTGCCTCCCGCCCTCTCTCCTACCGTCCGAAGAAAAGGAGGGAGAGAGAAGCAGCAACGGCGTGCTGAATCTCCTCTCTCACTCGTTCTCTCCCTCCCGGAAAGTAGAAGACCTACTTAACCACCTCTGTCCTTAGCACAACCTTCCTCCGCAACCGGAATGCAAGGCCCAACTGATCAAAGGTTGTGAGCCTTACTACCTTTCCATATGCATGCTAATCCCACACCACTGGAGCCGCTTGCGCCCTTCTCCGAACCCCTAGCACGAAAATAGAGCAGGTGCGCGAAGGCGAGGAGCCTCCCAACCACGCAACGCAATCGAGTGAACTAAGCGCCTGTGCGGAGCACACACACAAAAACTCGGGTGAGATTTCAGGAAACCTGACACGGTCAACACGCATCCCATGAATTATCTCGACACACAATGCCTACCTGCGCGAGGACACAATGTGCGGCCAACCAACTCCAACACTGCCCTTGAAACTCGACCACAAGCAGTCACCATCCAAAAAACATCTAAGTCCAAGGTATCCCACACACATACTCCCAGCTGCGACCCAAGCCCACGGACCTCACCACTCATCCACACGACCCAAAGCTCCTAAAAGCACGAGCTTCAATCACCAAAGGTAGAAGAGAACCACCAAAGTAGTGAAACTAGCCCCACACTCACTAGCAAGATATTCTTCTCACGACCTCCCTTACGCACACCTTACCCCACTGAACCACTACTTCACCATCCCCGCGACAGTAGTCGCAGTACTCTCACTAAAGCCTCAACTTGGGCAAAAACTCACCAGCCACGGCGTCTGGAAGACCGATTGCTTTGAAGGTGGGTGAAGGTGTTGGGGAGGAGATCAAAGGTTGGGTTTCATCAGTCTGCACTGGTGGGCTGGTTCCAGTAGTGCCGCTGCTCCAATGCTCCTCGACTGGGCAATGCGTGGAGAGAGCAAGCCAAGGTGGGGGGGGGGGGGAGGGGATTGGAGCTGGCAATGTGCTATCTATGGGAGATGCAAACCAGGAGAAGAAGCCCTGAGAAAGTGGGGGAAGTAGCTGGTCAGCCTGGGGGATGTGGAGCATTCAATGCGGTTGCGGAGGCCTGGAAAGGTGCAAAGGCGCTAAGGCAAAGGACCGAAGAAGAGATGGGAAGTGGAGGCAGCAGTATAAGTTTAGCGCCCACCCCCTTCGCCCCGAGCCCCACCCCACCTACCTACCCACCTATCTACCTATCTCCCTACCTCCTACTTCTTCTTCTTCTTCTTCGTCTTCCCTCCCGCCTCGTCTCGCCACTGCAGCCCAGCTCCGGCAGGGGCGGTGAGCCTCCAGGGTACGCGCCTGTCGATGCGGTGTGTCGATACATCCGGTCATCGATCCATCGATGAGATCTCCTCTCCCCGCTTCTCTCGACTCCGTTGCGTGCCTTCATTGCTGGATGGGCCCCATAATGATGAATCTCATAAATAGCTTACAATTTGATCAGGGGGTTGCCGCAACACAATTATTAACCCGACCTCATTCAATGACTAGCAATCCTGCTATTGTAGGTCACTCACCTTAATTTGGGTCTCTCCTCGCTGGGAGCCCCCCTCCCCTCCCCTCTGGTGATTAATTCCAGGGCCCGTCACTGGAATCGGAGCCCACGGCTCCCGCTTGACTTCATTCTGCATCGCGGAACCTCGCGCCTGACTCCCATAGATAGCCTCATCAACAGATCGATGGATTGATAGATAGATAGATAGAGCAACTAACCAACCCTGGTCCTAGTGGCATCTCCCCGACCTCTGCTCTCGCATCCATTCCCCTTCCCTCCTGTTTTTTCTTCCTTTCCTTCCATTTCCCTTCCTTTGGTGGCGTCCCCATGAAGAATTCTCCCTTGCCTTGCCCTCCTTCCCATGCATGCGGAATTATGAGGTATCCCACATTCACCCAGTTCTCATGCCACTGTACTCCCTTCCTTTTCTCCCTTTCATATTTTCACAGTGAATCTGTTCACCACCGACATCCTTCCCCATGCAACACCACAACTTAAAACTTTAACATTTAGTAAATAAAAATATTAAGTATGTCAACTACGCAGAGTGTTCTCATTCGGGTATTCTCAATCAAGCAGGAAAGCCATTTCGTTTGTGCAGGTTTTTGTGTTTAAATTCACATGTGTATTTGTGTGTCTACAAATATATATATATATATATATAGGTGTGTGTGTGTAATGTACAAATAGTTGCATCATTCAGATAAATATGATGAATATCAGATTCAACTTTATTAGATTTACGTCTTGTTCAACTTAGTCATGATGATGATGTATTTAAAACAATTCAGAGTCACTAAAGGATTCAGGAGTTTGTAGTGCAAGTTGTATAAGTTTGATTTGCAAACTTGTAGTAAGTTCTTTCTCAGAAGACTTGAATGGTTGGTAGCTTTTATCACAGAAGTATAATACAATAAATGGATATGAATAAGACAAAGCATCTGGAAGTGTGTGTGTGTGTATATATATATATATATATACAAAAGAAATCAACATTTCATGATATTCAACTATGGTTCCATGGCTTATAAATCCAAACATCAATTGCATGATGACAAATACTGAAAATAATTTAGAATAGAATACAAGGATATGTCTATTTGTCTTAAATCAATTCAAGCAAAAGTCTTGAACACTTTGATAAGTCTAATATGAACACAAGTATTTGTAAATCTTTTTTCAAATAGAAAATTATTCTAAGATTCCCTCACTTTCTAAAATTGTAATAATCCATTACCAAAACCTCAAATTAATTAATTATTATTGTGTCACCTTGTTCACAAAAAAATTATACTCAAGTAAAATTGTTCAATAACTAAACTTTCTTTCTTCTCTTTTTCTCTTGACCCCATGTGAATGTAAAAACAAATAACATGAGTACAATTGTGTATTAAGCTCCCAAGAATACATAGAACCACTTACACACACATATATATATATATTAACCTATTTAGCTTTGCTGAGCTTGATCAGAGAGAGCATTGTGGGGGCAGTAACCTTGAGGCTAACCGTCAAAGCAGCCAAACTGTGGGCTTCATGAAGCATTGAAGGGAAAGCTGTCAGGAACTCTGCCATGGCCAACAAGGCCCCTTTGGAGTCCATGGCTGTTTTCAGAGCTTCATCAGTGGCATACCTAGGATGAGCTTGCTTGCACAACTTGGGCTTATGAAGGGAAAGGCATATTTATCATGTTTGTCCTCCTATCAATATATATTTCCCCATTAACTGCATCACTGCTGTGTGCATTCCCATATAAATAGCAGGAGCTAACTGTATTACATAACCATGTCATAATCTATCCCATTGGGAATGTGAGATTTGGATTTATTGCTGCTTTTGGGTTTTCATCAACATCTGTTAGTGATGCTCCCTAATCATCTCCCATGAGTTGTGTCTAAATAGAAAGCAGTGGCATTGAACAAGACTGTTACAAAGTAATAAACACTCACATTGTATGAGTCTAACTAGGCACCCAATTATATTATAATATATATGTATGTTCTTTTTACACTCCTGTTGGATTCAAATTTAGTGCACCAACACATCAACTATTTACAACAAGAATAAACACACTTTGTTGTCGAAGAATCATTCAGAATTGTTAAGAAAATCTGTTCTAAAGATCCCCACAACAAAAGAAAGAATGATGATTCACAAATGGTGTGCAACATAGGATGAAAAGTTAGAGGGAGGAACCCAATTGCAATCAATAAGTCCTTGAAGGAACTTGGAATATTTTTATATATATATATATATATATATATAAAAGGAAGGAAGGAAATATAGGTATCTGGAAAGGAGGGGGTGGAAGGCATAAATTTTGGGGGTACATGTAGGCCATGTCGTTGTACCACAGAATGAGGCATTATGGCTTTCATGTTCTGGGGTGACCTTGCTGAAATATTATTAAGGAACAATGCCAACTGCCATAGCCCCCTTTCATACTCAAAAAGAAATGCACCATAAAAACAGGCAATAAATACAATAAAAAAAAATAATCATAACAATAATAACAATGACTAACATGAAACAATACAATGGGTTTTATTTTTTTATTTTTTTTCATAGTTAGGCAATTTATAATTTTAATTTGTAAAGAAAATGAAGTATGTAAACAACAGATGTTATTTTTTTTTCCAAAACTTTGAAAGTGCCCATGCTGTAGCAGTGTATGAAAAAAATTAAGAATTTTCACATGTCAATAGATAATGAATCTCACAGATCCCTGCAATTGTATGGTTGTTTGTAATTAAAAGGAAAATAAATAAATAATTAATTTGGAAGACAATAATATACCTTGTATGGTATCATGTGGTAACCATGGGGTAGTGATAGGCTTGCAATCTACACTGCAGACCCTCTCATAACACCACTCCAACATGAGGCAATGTGTCCAACTCAGATGCTCACCTTTCCCGCATATTTCAAAAGCATCCTCTACTCCAGATCCATATATCTTGGAACAATGGGCATCACTCACATTCAATTTTTAATTTCTATATAAAAAAGAGGGAAAGATAGATTGTAAGTGACATATTAATGACTATCATTGCATTTGCAACCTTATAGACTTGTACACAAATATGGAAAAATGTAGGTTCCTAATTTAAAATTTTGAATTGGGATCCAGGGGAACTTTGTTGTCCAACTCAGCAACCTGAGGAAACCAGAAGTAGTGTTGGTTGGCTCATCACACCTGTAGATAAGCAGGTCAATGGGAAGAAAGCAACGAAAGAGGGGGGATGGGAGGGGATTAATGAGGGTAGTTGAGCCTTGCTGTTAACCCCAGCTGACCTCCCTGGCTTTATGTGTGTGTGTGTGTGATTGTGGGAAACTAAATGTGGGACACAAATGTCAATACAAAAGTGTGCAACTCCAGCAGATTTGAGACAAACAAGATTTTGTCTCCATAGATGAATGGATGGATGGAGTGACGGATGGATTGATGGATGGATGGATGGCTGGTTGACGTGTGGATGGATGAAGTGACGGATGGATTGATGGATGACAGATATGGTAATTTATACGTATATGTATATGTATATACATACGTTTTCATGGATTGAACATTTAGACACCAACAGCCATTGAGATGGTCCTGTTCAAAGTCTTTTTCCTATTGACTCCTGTGTTTCAAGAGCTTGGGCAGAGAGGCTAGGAACAAGTCAGAATAAGGATGACTGGAAGAAGTGGGCAACTATTAACATACTTTGTTAAACTCTAGCATTGAAATTTTGGTTTGGGAATATGAATGTGTTTTATTTTTATTTTTACGAATACTGAGTAATACAGTGTTGGAACCATGCCTCTTGGTGCATAGAACAATCAATCATTAAATAGTGCATGAAAGTACTCTTTTTGCAAAAATAGAAGTTGTGTTTAAGAGTGAGAAGATTTAGAAACCACCCCTAAATTATCTACTTATGGACAGAATAATCTTGAAACTTTATTGGTTCAAAAAAACTTCTCCTTCAAGCATACACATTATTCTAGTCATTTTTTTTATTATTATTAATTAGAAACAAAACAAAACAAAACAAAAACTAGGATGTGTTTCTCTTATTATGATTGATAGTATTTATATTTATTCACTCATTCATTAAATCAGCCATTGTTGCATGTAGCTTTGACAAACATTTTCTATAAAAGAATTTATAATATTAATTTATATTAGTTCACTCATTCAAATCCGTCGTAGGATTATTAACTTTTGAAAAGTTAAAAGTATCAAGTCATGGATGATAACCAT